CACACACACACACACACACACACACACACACACACACACACACACACACACACACACACACGCACAGGTGCATTATGATTGTTATGGCTTCTGAGAGGCAGCCAGGGCTTCTGTTCTTAGATAATGCTGGAATCCATACAGGTGAAGCTCCACCAAGTCCTAACCACATGTTACCAGATGTTACCGGATGTTACCAGATGTTAGCAGATGTTACAGGATGTTACCAGATGTTACAGGATGTTACCAGATGTTACAGGATGTTACCAAATGTTACCGGATGTTATCAGACATCTCTGGATCTTTGGTAGGTGGAATTTATTTATGTCTTACACCTCAGATGCTGATTTTCAGTTAATCTGAGGGAGATAAATTCTGTTTGGAGCACATCCTCCAGAGTTAAATTCAACTGGACTTCTTCTTCTGGGGCCTTTTTTGGGGCCCAGAAACCTAGTAAAGACCTTTCCCTCTCTACACCGTTCCAGCTCAGGAAGCTATTTTCACTCTACAGATCAGTCATTCTGATTTCATTGGTGACTCCTCTGAAATCATTCCGGTGTTGGACACACTGGTGACGTAGACCCAATTATATTTAATTACAAATATGATTCCCCCCCCTCCTGTTCTCAGGTAAAACTCTGGTCAACGGAGAGGCTTAAGCTAAAACCAAAACTGGAGGGGGGGGAACGGTATTAATGGGAATTTACATCTGAACAGGGATTCATGAGTTGTGACGTACTGTTGGGGGGGGCTGGAGGCCGACCAAAACTTTCATATCTCAATTAAATTAAATTCTATTTTATTTCTATAGCGCCACATCACAACAACAGTCGTCTCCCAGCTCTCCAAACAGAGCAGGTCAGACAGACTGAAGTTACCTACAGAAGCCCAACAGTTCCTATCTTGGGCTTTCTGGTGTTAATCCTCAGTGTTTGGCCTCAGAGTGACTACATGGAGATCTTTGTAATAAAACCCCTCAACCCTGACTCAGCCCACGTTTGGAGGTTGTTTCTGCTGTTTGGTGCTGGAGCTCCTGAGCTGTTGTCCTCCCCCCTCCGGCTCTGCCCATAAACCCTTATGGGTCAGATTTCCAGCTTCCTCTGGCCTCATCCCCGGTCAGAAGCTCTCCTGGTCCGGGCTCAGAGAGCCGCTGGACCCGTTCAGCTGAAGCTGCTTCAGTCCTGGAGCTGCTGATTAAAGCCGGAGCAGCCGGGCAGCAGCTGGGGGTGGTGATGGAGAACGGGGGGCAGAGGGGAGGCCGAGTGTGTGATGACACCGTGAACTGTGTGGCTCATTGTCGGAGCCACAATGGAAGCCGTTTTCCCGCCCAGTATAATAGTGTGAGTGTTTTCCCCCCCGTGTTTTCTGCAGGTTGTTCCTGTTTTCTAAAGCAGGGCTTTGTGCGCCCGGCCTCCTGCTCTCACCAAGTTCATATCACTGCACACTGCAGGAAGCCAAGGACGGATATCCAACCCCGCCCACATCCAATCGGCCGTTAAAACAGTCACGTAACCAGTTAAATACCGGTCACATAACCAGTCAAAACCAGTTGTATAACCAGTTATATGACCAGTGAAATAACAGTCGTATAACCAGTTAAAACCAGTCGTATAACCAGTTAAAAACCTGTCGTATAACCACTTAAAAAACAGTTTTATAACCAGTCAAAAAAGAGTCATATAACCAGTTAAAACTAGTCATATCACTGGTTAGAAACCAGTCAAAAACCAATTGTGTAACCAGTTAAAAACCAGTAACATAATCAGTTAAAAACTAGTTTTATAGCCAGTTAAAAAACAGTCATTAAAGCCTCTGGTAGGGGTTTGGCTTTTCTGATTAAAACACAGATCTCATTAGTGTTCTGCTGAGTGGATCAACGGGGCAGAATCGCTGTTCCCTCCATACCAGTCAAAAACCAGTAATACGACCAGTTAAAAAACAGTCGTAAAACCAGTTAAAACCAGTCAGCTAACCGATTAAAAACCAGTCGTATGACTAGTTAAAAAACTGTTTTTATAACCTGTCAAAAAACAGTCGTATGACCAGTTAAAAAACAGTCGTATGATCAGTTAAAAAACAGTCAAAAACCAGTTGAATGACCAGTTAAAAAACTGTTTTATAACAGTGAAAAAATAGTCATATAACCAGTTAAAACCGGTCAAAAGCCAGTTGAATGACCATTAAAAAAACTGTTTTAGAACCAGTCCATTCAGGTTTAACGTGCGTCTTTGTGCTGAACACTGTTCGACCCCGGCTGCTTTCTGTATCATTTCTCTCTCTTTTGATAGGTTCAGTTAGTTTCCATCTTTTTTTATTTCATCCCTCTTTATGCTCCTTAAACGGGTCCAGCTGGAACACTATTGATCTCGGAGGATCAATAAAGGATTCAAGAATTTTTAAGTTTCCTCCATCCGTTCTGTTCATTTTGTCTTTTATTATCCACTTTTTCTAGTTTATTCAGTCTTATTTTGTTTGCTGTTCTTTGGTTCTAGTTCCAGTTTGTCTCCATGTTCTTTTTCCTCTTCTATTCAGATCTCTTTTCAGTTCCTGCCCCCCCTTAAATTCTAGTGAGATCCTCTGACTTTTTGCCCTGGTTTCTTCGTTTCTTTCTTCTTTATTTGTTTGGTTTTGAAGTTCTTTGTTATTCTTATAATTTCCCCCGTCTGGTTTTGTTTAATTCATTATAATCCATCCCAGCCACTCTCTTTTTTAACCCTTCATAATAAATGCCAGCAGTCCTTTGCCCCCCCCAGCCAGTCTGTTGCTGTAACACAGTGTTTCTGGACTCTGTGGGATTCAAACCCGGGACCTTCCACCCAGCAGCGCAGAACCGTCAGGATTCAGTCCCCTCATCTGAATTAGCATTTAAACAGTGTGACAGCAGTCAAAAGAGCCATCCATCCAGAACCACCCGCCTTTTGGCCCTTTTCTCTGGACCAATTACACACATGGAGGATTCACTCGGCTTATAGTCCGACCTTGGTTCATTTTTGGAAATTATAACTGGTTATTCCAGTAATTCTAACTCCCCCCTGGTAAGATTTGAAAAGACCCTCCAGAGTGTGGAAAGCAAAAATGAACTGAATTCAAACCCGGCGACGCAGAACTGAGACTAAAAACGAATGAATCGTCGAAGCAAAACAAAGAAAAGTAATTAAAAAAGGGCAGATTTATTTAAAGCACTTACATAGAAAAATATGATTGATTTGAGTCAACAATAATAAATAGAGCGCCCAGTCCGTACAGCTGTACAATCAATATCCAGGGTCACCAAACAGCAAAGGCACTAGCATTTACCACAATCAACAACACGTCCATGGAGGTGTGGGGGGGTTGGGGGGGGGGGGGGGGGCCGTCAATCAGCCAGGGCTTCCTGTGAGCAGCCCCCCCCCCTCTGCCCCCATCCCAACTCTGTGGCCTCTTTCCCAACATGCAGCTAGAAAACCAAAAAAGACCCAAAAGGTGGAAGGGAGGGGCGATCCGGGCTAAAGCCCAGAGTGGAGATTTGGCTTAAAAATCACACAAAAACACGGATGAGTTTGGTAAAAACAGAAAAGGTTTGGTCAGTTGTGTGCAGGCAGCAGCTGGAGACTTTAAAAAGTCCAAACCGTTTCAGGCCGTGGACTCATGGAAGAGGCATAAAGGAACAAAAAAACAAAAGGTCCATCTGAAATTCAAAGTCACATTTCCTCTCGTCACCTTTGGAAGGGAGGGGCTCTAAAACCGGACTGGGAAAACCAGTATAAAGCAACAGGATCTAAGCCGGTTTGGATCATCTGAGAGGACCAAAGCTCAGCTCTGGGCTGGTTTATTCTTTTTTAGTACTTATTTAAAATCTGGATTCCGGTCTATAACCAGTCAAAGAGTCGTAAAACCAGTTAAAACCAGTCGTATCACTTGTTAAAAACCAGTCACATAATCAGTTAAAAAACATTTTTATAGCCAGTTAAAAACCAGTAATTAAAGCAGCGTGAGCCTCTGGGGGGGGGGTTGCACATCTTTAAAACACAGTTAGTGTTCTGCTGAGTGGATCAAATCGCTGTTACCTCCATACCAGTCAAAAACCAGTAATACGACCAGTTAAAAAACAGTTG